CCTTCCTCGGAAGGGGATTATCATCGAAAACAACATGTATTTACTCTTCTACAACTAAAGTTCTTTTATTAAATACACGATAGGCTTTAGAATTTAAGGAATAACCCAGAAAAATTCCTTCATCACTTTTAGCATCAAATTTGCCAAGGTTTTCTTTACCGTTGTTTAAAACAAAACATTTACATCTAAAAGGATGAAAATAACTAATGTTAGGCTTTTTATTTTTTAAAAATTTCATATGGAGTTTTCTTTAAAATTGGCCTAATCATTACTCGATTTACAACATAACAAGCGGTATTTGTGGCTTTCGCCCAAAAATATTTTGGCAAATTATTTTTACAAAGCATGGTTCTAACCATTTCTTTTAAAGTTCGATTTTTCCTCTCAACAACTCCATTTTGTTGAGGGGTTCTAGGTGCTGAAAAATTATGGCTAATACCGTTAGAGTTACAAAATTCAGTAAATCCAAGATTTTCAAATTCAGTTCCATGATCACTCCTAACACTAGTTATAGAGTAATCTTTTTCATTTTGGATTACTTTTGAAAACGTGATGAATTGTTCTAATGCTTCATCTTTAGTATTTAAAAATAGAACCCAAGTATATCTAGAATAGTCATCTACCAAGACAAATGCATATTGTTTTCCACCCAAGCTAGTAGTTCTAGTTGGCCCAAAAAGATCTAAATGGATCAATTGTAAAACTCTACTAGTTGATACATCATTAATGGATTTAAAAGAAACTCGCTTTTGTTTTCCTTTAGCACAAGCATCACAGATTTTATCATTATCAAATTTAAGCTTAGGCAACTCTCTTACTAGGTCTCCTTGATTTAACCGTTGCAAAACACTCATACTAGCATGTCCTAGTCTCCTATGCCATAACCAACTATCATGTTCATCCTTAGCAACTAGGCATAAATTAGTCATATCAAAAGAATCTAAATACACCATGTATATATCCCTTTTTTTATGACCAATAAGCATAATCGAAAGTAGATGCAATGTCAATCAATTTTGTAATCATTTAAAATAAAACATTGTATATTTTATCAAATTTATTTTTCAAAAGATTATGCTTTTAACCCATTCACATATAAAACATTATGCAATGTTGATTATAGAGAGTAAGAGCACATGCATAAAGTTTTTGAAAATGTTATGCATTAAAACTTTATAATATTTAAACAAAAATCTATGCATAAACATTAAAAATTTCAGATCAAAATTTTGCAAAACCAAAGTTCTTGAAAAATCAATATCAATTATTAAAGAGATATCAATTACATTTAAAAAAAAAATTTGACCAAAAATTAAAATGATGAACTAGAGTTTATAAAAAAAATTACCATGTTCATCATACAATATTTTTCAACATACATGAGACAAAACATAATCATTTAGAATTATTTAACATTTAAAACCTCATGCATGCATAGAATAAATGAGCAACCAAATAAAATAAAATAAAAAATTTAAGTTTAGAGGTTACCCATTACTTTTTCATGTGTGGCTAGAGCATCTCGAATATCATCAACTTCATCACCATTGCTCCCACACACCTACAAGAGACATTTAAGTAGATTTTGGTATCCAAATTGCTTTGGATCCTTGAACATTAGTTTCAATGCCTCTTGTTCCTTTTGGAATCCATACTTGTCTAATTTTAAATCGTTTTCCTTTCTTTAAAGGACAAGTATGTTCCTTATGACCATGATAATGACAATGTGAACATATTGTCATTATTGAACTAGATGAATTATTTAGAATGATCTCTTTTTCTTTTGTTAAACATTCAAGCTTATCTTTTAAATTGAAATTTTCTTTTTCAATACTTTCAAATTTCATTTTTGAGAGTTCTAAATCCTTCTTCAAGATTTCATTTTGATTTTCAAAATCCATTTTCATTTCTAGAAGAAGTTTGTTTAATTTGAAAATTTCTTTTTCAAAGTTTTCAGATTTTATTTTTGAAAGCTCTAACTCCTTTCTCAACATTTCATTTTGATTTTCCAAGTCTGTTTTAGCTTTCAAAAGAAGATCATTTTTAGCAATAAATTTAGAAATCAATTTATTGTATTTGGAGTTCATGGTCTCAAACTCCGAAAATAATTCATCATAAGCATCTTGTAACTCATTAAAAGATTTTGAATTTGATATATTAGAGTTAGAAGATACCTTTGGCTCTGTGAGAGCTAATAGAGACATCACTTTTATTGGTTCTTCTTCTTCCTTGTCTCTATAGATCTCCTCAAGCTTATCCCACATTTTCTTGGCACTTGAACAAGAAGAAACTCCTTTATATACATTAGGATCAATTGCAAAACACAACATGTGCATAGCCTTTGAGTTTTGTTGAGCTTCATTCCGTTCTTGAATACTCCACTTCTTTGCCTTCTTAGTAGGAGAGGAATATCATTTCTTGATTATCATCCAAGCTTCCATATCAAATGCTTTGATGAATATCATCATACACCTCTTCCAATGACGATAATTTGTTCCATTGAAGTGTGGAGGCACGTCAATTGGTCTGGATTCTTCCATTGAGAATGAACCGGAAGTGGACGCCATCTTTATCGATTTAACTCTTCCCGGATCGACTCAAGAGGTGATTAAACCTTCAAATGAGTTAGGCTCTGATGCCAATTGTTGAGTTAATCGATTGACGGAATTGGCCAAGAGGGGGGTAAATTGGCAATTAAAAATTTGGTGGAAGCTTTTGCAGAAAATTGAAAGTAATGGCACAGCGATTTAGAGTGGTTCGACTTTCTCAATTAAAGTCTACGTCCACTACCTTAGCTATCCACACTAAGGATTTTCCAACAAATTCACTAATTTGTTCTTTCTTTTGAGGCCAAAGAGATAACCTTACAACACCCTCAAGAATATACCCCAATTCTTGAGAACACTGTTTCCCAAAGAGAAGATTACAAATTTGCAAACTTACAAGGAAAACCTCACAAGCTAAGATGTTTACACAATTCTAGAACAAGAAAAAAACACTCACAAATAATTACAAATGAGCACAAATGGTGTTCTTTGAAAGCAAAATGAATATTGAAAGGAAAATTGGCTTGATTTGCACAAACTTGGTGTTTGATGCTTTCTCTCTTGTTTCTCTATAATTTCTTATTGATCAAGGGCTTCAGAACTTGTTTAAATACACCTTGAATCACTTCTGAATGTTGGGGATGATTAGTGAAGATCATATAGTCGTTTTAGTGTGAAAACAATTAATAAAACAGCTTGGAGCGTGGGGGGAATCGGTACCCCTTATGGGGAATCGGTTCCCTAAGTGTAAAATTCAAATATTTCGACCGTTATACAAGGGGGGAATCGGTACCCCCTGGGGGGGAATCGGTTCCCTCCGAGCATACTGGAATTCTCGGAGCCAAACCATTCAGGGGGGAATCGGTACCCCCTTAGGGGGGAATCGGTTCCCTCTGAGCAATCTGGAATTTTTGGCTTTGAAATGGTTCGAAATACTTTGTAAAATTATTTTGAAATTGTTTTAAGATTAAAACTTAATTTTACACTTTGAGTAAGGATTAAAAATGATCTTTGAAAGATTTGGAGTAATGTTTTGATATTCGAATAATTCTATCGAATATACTTAGAAAATCATTTGGAAAATCTTAAAATTCATTTAACTTAATTTGTTATATCGAAATATCAAAATGTTTTCAACATATAAGTTAAGAGATATTGGCATAAATGAGTATAAAAATGTGTCAAATAAGTTATATAGGAAAGTGATATGTTTAAGTGGAACTGTGTCCTAAACTTGTTAGATTTCTATGTGATATGAGTTAGAGAATAAAGGCCCAGAAAATTATATGTGAATATTTTAGAAATTAAGTAATGATCATTTATGAGAATATATGTCTATGTGATAAGCTATGTGAAAATGAACTAATGAAAATATGAAATTAGTGTATAAGAAATATGATATAGTGATCATGTAAAAATAGGATAAAAAAACTATATGTCATTGATGCGTAGAATATATGAAATTATAATACAAGCTATGTGGTATTGGCATAAGTGATTATAGGAATGTGTAAGATAAGACACGTGAATTCAATATAAGTGATTATGTAAAACTGTGAGATAAGTATAGGGCATTGATATACGGACTAGATGAAAGTATGTACATGAATACATGTATAAGTTTATATGTTATTCTATATGTTATATGAAGTAAATATGAACATATGTGAACAAGATATGATATACGGGTTTACATGAAAAAATAAGAAATGATATAAGCCATATGAAACGATCTACATGATTACATGTACTTATGATACATGTTATATGATATGAGATAGATGTTTACACATACATGTGGTATGTGATAGAAGAACATAAATATGTGATCATAAGAGCAATGATATGAACTGTTATAAATGATAATGCCCATGTAATATGATATGAGAGCTAGTGGTATAGTTGGAATGCCAATAGTCGAGGGTTCTACGCGGTCATTCGGGACAAATACATAGGTCATTCGGGACAAATACATAGGTCTTTCGGGAAAAATACATAGGTCCTTCAGGAAAAATTTCACATACCCCTAGTGGGACCCCATACGAGCTATGGTGACAGCATAAGTGCACAACCTCAATATACTCGAATACCTTAAGTTCTCAGTAATGTACATGGGCCTATAAAAGATATCAAAAGTGTTTGCATTATTATATGATGTTATGTGTGTTTCTTTGTGTAATGATATATGTGTTACATGATATACTGAAGTGATAAGTACAAGATCATATATGTGTTATATGATTTTGTACGTATGTACGTATGTATGTATGTACGTATGTACGTATGTACGTATGTACGTATGTACGTATGTACGTATGTACGTATGTACGTATGTACGTATGTATGTATGTATGTATGTATGCATTTTTTTATATGAAATGTACTATGATTTTATTATATGTTTTATATGGCTCATTAAGTCAACGACTTAGCATGTGATTATTTCACACGTAGGTTCCGAGAAGAGAAAGATTGATAAAAGTTATGCAAGACAGGCCAGTTCCTCCTTTTCAAAGATAAGATCAGAAATGAAATGAATAGTTTGTATTTTGTAATACTGATTTATGGTTGGCATGTAAATAAAGATTTGAATCGGTTATATTCTAATCGATTTTGTAAAATCATATGATTGAGTTTTGTAATATTTTAAACGTATATATGTAAATGGAAATTTTATATTGATGAAAGCTTAAATTTTTATGAATTTTATACATGTTTTTCCGAAGTTACTGTAGCAGTGCATCGATACACAATTTATATTCGATATTTTTGTGCTTCGGTACACTGTAGCAGTGCATCGATACGTATTGTTTTCAAATTTGTTATAATGAAATATAATTCCACAGTATGTGATCATATTTTCTTAATATAAGTCCAAATGTTCGATTATTTTGTAAGGAAATTATTTTAAAAAGTTAATGTGACATCTCGGACTCGTTTTCGGGTCGAGTATGGGTTGGGGTGTTATATTTAATGGTATCAGAGCTACATTTTAGCTGATTCTAGGCTAAAAACGAAGTCAAAAGTGTTTTAAAAAGTATACATGCCAACACAAAGTGAAAAATTTTCTGATCTGATAGTGTAAGGAGTATGTTGTCTTGTTAATATAGTTAAATTGTTATGATATATTATATGTATGATCATGAGAGCTTCCAAAGTGAAGCACCAGGCGATAGACTGAAGGTAATAGCAATTCAACTGCCCTGACCAGGCAGGGAGAAGAGCGGACACCTCAGGGAGTGCCTGTATAAGATTAAAGAATATTTTTTATGATATTGAATGATATTCTGATGTGTTTTCAATTTTATATTTCTTTAATTCATAGAATAAATGTATTGAAATAGTTAAAGGAGTTTAGAGCACCCAAGCTCATGGGTGAATTTGGGGAAGGATCTGTTATTACAAACCTTTGGGTCAAATGATATGAAGATAATGTTAGAAGATTTTCATTTCTCCAAAGTGGAGAAGTTAAATTGAGTAGTTTCATTACTACGTTGACAGGCTAGAGTATGGTGGACAAATGTCACCATAAGATTGTTAAAAGATCAAGTGATATGGTTAGAATTTATAGAAGGGTTCAAGAATAAGTGCATCAGTGATAAGTTTATCAGATGAATGAAACTAGAGTTATGAATTTGAATTAAAGGAATAGTACCGTGTATAAGCAAGAGTGTGGATATAATAAGGGTTTGTAATTTAGAAGGAAAGAGTTAGCGTTGGCTAACAAGATTTCGTTATGAAAAGGTATTGGATATAGTTGTATATCTTGATTATGTAAATGTGATGTAGTGAAGAATATAAGGATTTGCATGTTTAAGAGAAGATACAAAGTAATAGAAAATTTTAAGAATGAGTATATCGGTGATCAGTTTATAAGACAAAGAAAGTTACAACGTTTGATTCTGAAACAGAGGAATAGTATGTGTGAGTAAAAGTCTGAGTTTGACAAGTTGAGTACGATATCGTGGAGGAAAATTTTGACGGGAAAGAAGGTATATGATTGGATGATTAGGGCTTGTGCACTAGATTGAAAAGTTGATATTTATTAACTGTAATAGTAAAGGTGATAGAGTTGTAAGATTTGGAAAAGATATAAGGTTAAGTTAATCAAGCACGATGAATCTGGATTTGGTTGTGTATTCTGATCATATAAATATGATGTAGACAAAGAAATAAGTATTTGTATAAGATTAAGGAAGAAATTATTAGTACAAGAGATGGTAAAGGAAGAGGTTATGTGTAAATAAAGGGAGTTATCAAAGTTACAAAGATGCGATGAAGATCGATAATCAGGGATAAGTATAAGCGATATGAAAAGAGTATGAGAGCCTGAAGAAAAGATATGATATATGTTACAAGGAGATTTTGATTTGTGGATGAGTAAAGGGATAAGGAAATTAAAGGGTTAAGTATGATAAAGGTTATATGGAAGTGTAGATGTAAAGTTCGATATAGAAATACGAAAAGTGTGCAAGGTGATGTGAAAAGATTGTTTGATTCCGTAAAGTATATGTTTAATCACAATTGAAGAAGATTTAAAGTTGTGTTTTGGTCAGATGATGATGGAATAAAAGTTTGGTATTGTGATAAGGTAATTAGAGATTAATGAATAAATAGATTGATTTATGATATGGAGTGATGAAAATTGATGTTATTGTCTACGTGATGTGTAACATTATATGAATTTTAGAAAGATCAAAGGAAAATACAGAATCGAATGAGAGAAAAGACAGAAATGGATGAGGTTACTAGTTATTGTTTTTATGATAAGCAACAGTAAAGGAATGAATAAGACCAAATTTGTTATAATGAAACATAATTCCACAGTATGTGATCGTATTTTCTTAATATAAGTCCAAGTGTTCGGTTATTTTATAAGGAAATTGTTTTAAAAAGTCAATGTGACATCTCGGACTCATTTTCGGGTCGAGTACGGGTTGAGGTGTTACAAATAAAGTCCATATTATAACATAATTGTTATTATTAAAAGATCCCTAGTCAAATATTATTATGGGCATGGACAATAATAATACACTTAAGACTAACATGTTATTGATTGATGACAACGAGTTATCAGAATTGATAAATGATTATATTGTTAGAGAACAATGTATTGGATTGACCTACCATGAGCATATGTCTTGGATTATTATATGACAGTCATAACATTGCTCATGGTGATGACTATATGTATGATCCTCATACTTGAGATCAATTCTATTGCAACATATATTGTTGTATGTTTTGATGTATTTGAACATGCTCTGTAACTGGTTGCTCTATAAAGACTGTTATTTAATATATCTTGATATATGTAGTGGGTGTATACGATTAAGATATGATTTGTCCTTCCTACATAATAGGAAATATATCACAGACCACTCGATTGAGTGAGACTAGAAATACATGGCCATGCTCAAATAAGTTCATATGAGATATCAAAAATTATTTGTTAATTGAAGTCTACTCTAGATATCAAGAAACAATAGATGGTCTATACAAGTGTGACTATTCCAAGACTTGTGCCTTTTCTAGATATAAAGGACAAAATGATGTAATACATAAAAGAGTTAATCACGAAGATGGTATGTCGAATCATATTTTTTTGTAACTTAGGTGACAATGATATATTGCTAGATGTCACTCATTGTATGTAATATTAGAATTGTTCTAATAATTACTACTAACGTTACAAGAACCTACAGGGTCACACCCTAAGATTGAAATGAGCAAAGACGTACAATTTGTTATATGTTACTAAAATATATCTAGAGTTAATATATGTATATTTTATATACATATGTTTTAATTTTCCCAAATATTTAATTTAAATTAAATAATAAATATTTAATTATTTTAAAATAATAAAATCCCTAATATGTTAGGGTAACTTTGATATAAAAGGAGGTGCATGGTCTAGCAACCATTTTACACATTATCTTCAGCCGTTTTTCTCAAAACAGTTTTGGGAAAAGAAAATATTGCTCTCAATCGGGTGAACTAAGTAGAGGCCGAGATATGGTTTTGTAGAGGCTTACGATTCGAATCGATCGACACCACCATTAGCCGCTGATGTCCTTGTTGTTTTTTAGGTAACCTGCTATAAGTATTCACATCCTTTCCTCTCGATTTTGGTTTATCGTACTTGAATCGCTGGTGAGACCGTCAAATTTTTGTTTCCGCTGCCCCATTGAGTGAGCCGACGATACCAACATGAACCACATCTTTTGAAACGAAATCCCTAATGGCAATTAGAATAATCAATTCAAAAGGATCTGACAACCTTGAAATTGTATCATCATTTACATTAACACATCTTGAGATGTTCGACGCATATCTATAAGGAAAATTTATTGACTTAAAACAAAAAAATTTCTTTATTTCCTCTTTTAATAGAGTGTAGCATGCATGAGACATCAAGTAAAAACAACCTTCCATTTTTTTTCAAATGTAATTTTTTCTTGATTTTCATGTCCTCAAGATCTAATCTCGCACTTAAAGTATCTTTTATTTTCCTTTCAATCTTCAACATTGTTCCTAAAATGTTACCGTAGATGTTCTTCTCAATATCCATGACATCTAAATTGTGTCGCAGCTTCATTGTTTTCTAGTAAGGAAACTCAAAGAATATGTTTTTCTTAGTCCAATTCAACTCTACAAGGGTATGGTTCCTCTTCAATCTATTCACATGTTTCCCAAAGTCATTTTATTTGAGACCATTTAATTGTTGTAACAATTAAATCCCAAATAAATCCTTAGAATTTGAAATGTTTTCTTACCATTAAACATTCTGCTTTTTCTCCAAACATGATCATGAGGTTCAAATGTGAAACATATCTTATTTCTCAACTTTTGTGATGGAGCATCTTCATTACCAATGGGACATGCCAAATACCCTTTTGTACTCCAACCTTATAAATCCCCATAAGAAGGAAAATCATTTATAGTCCAAAGAACAGCTACATGCATTTGAAAATGTTCATTCTTATAAGCATCATAATTCCATACTCTATTTTCCCATAAATATTTCAATTCATTTATCAATGGCCTTAAATAGAAATTGACATCCTTTCCTAGAGAGTTTATTCCAGGAATAAGTAATGACATCAACATGAAAAGCTCTATTATACATTTTCAAGGAGGAAGATTATATGAAATAACAATAATTGACCATTGTCATGAAGACTTTTTTGAGAATAGGAGTGTGATTTTAGAATTCAAAAATAAGGAAATTAGAGATGTTTAAAAGGATTTGGAAATGTTCAGAGTCCTCATCGACCTTTTGTATTAAGTAGGTTGAAAACCCAAAATATGCCTTTTAAATAATTTTAAATAATAAATCTTTAAAAATACACGATTTGTTCTGCAATTTTAGAAATTCTGGGCCCTAGAGTTGATTACACCTAAGGAAGGATTAGCACCCCATAGCGCCCGAAATCGGTACCTTCAATTACAAATTTGTCCCTATACTGAAAAATCTAAGAATTCAAACATTTATCTAATTAGTGATCTTTATTCCCTATACTGAAAAAAAGAATTAAAGCTCAAATAGTGACT